AGGAGGTGTGCTCAGTCCTACCCTGTTTAACATCCTTATGCAGGAACTTGTGAGCCTTCCCTTTCATAGTGGTACACAGCTCCTCAGCTATGCTGATGATCTTGCACTAGTAGTGAATGGGAAAGGCAATTTAGAACGACAGGCTCAGAGAGCTTTGGACCTCATTACGCAGTCTTGCAAGGAACTAGGCCTCAAGATCTCGGCCGAGAAATCTCTTGCAATGATGTTCAAGGGACCAGATCCTATGAATAGATTACGTATTCAGGATATAGAACTTGAGTGGACAGGCTCCTACCTGTACTTGGGAATCTACATTGATAAAAAGCTGACCTCTCAGAAACAGGCTGAGTATGTCAGGTCACGTGCTCTACTCAGACTCAACGCCATGAAAGCCATGACGAGGCACCGTGCAGGGGCAAGCAAAGATGTACTTCGCTTGTACTATATACAAGCTATACGCTCGCTCATTGACTACGGTGCACCGGCTTTAGCTCATCTCTTCCCGCAGAGCAGGCAAAGGGTGGAGGTCATACAAAACCAGGCGATAAGAACTATGCTTGGTGCCCCCATCTGGACCAACACAGTATGTCTCAGATCTGAGGCCCGCTTCCTTCCTTGGCTGACAGAGTAAGATACATAAACGCTGCAAAGTGGCCACGATTCTGCACCGGCAGCAAGGTACCCCACTAAGGAGACGGATATTAACAACCATGTTCACAAGATCCCACACTCTTCACGGACTACTCCTGGATTCGTTCGTTTGTGCTGCTGGGCGGAAGCTGCTGCCTGTACAGCTGCTCTGTGAGAAGAGGTGTGACCTTCCTGTTGCTGGGTACCATCCACCACCTCCCTGGCGCCCAGATCCAGCCGATGTTTTCATCATGCAGCTACCCTTCTAAGTGTCTCCTGCAGTCAAGACACCCTCGCAATCATGCTGAGACAAGCATGGCACTGGCAGAGGGAGGCACATGTGCAGTGTATTTCACAGATGGTTCTGTCGACCCTGATAGGAAGAGAGCAGCAGCTGGACTGTACCACAATGGTCACACACAAGGCTGGCGACTCCCTGACCACTGCACGATCCTTCAAGCTGAGCTGGTGGCGATTCAGCAGGCATTGTCACATGCCCTACGACATCGACTCCGACCTGTCATACATGTTGATTCCACGTCTGCAATCAATGCCCTCTCCCATCCTCAACCACAGGATAATGTTCATCTCATCACATCGATCCTGAGCATAATGACAGCCTTAGAAGTTCAGGGTAATAGATCGACATTGAACTGGATCCCCAGCCATGCTGGCATCCGGGGAAATGAGACGGCAGATGATGCAGCCAAGGCAGCAACAGACTATCCACATGTTGGGATTACTGTCCCAATCAGCCTACGACAGACCAAACTGGTGGCTGCCAGAGCCACGAAACTTATGGGGGAGGTCTTAGGTGTACCCTATTCTCAACAGTGGTACCGAGCCGCGACTCAGGGAGAAGAACCCCCTCCATATGATAGAAGCTGGTCCAGAGCGCAGTGTACCACCATCCATCGGCTTCGTTTGGGCTTTCCCACAGCTAAGATGATGGTAGACAAGGCTGAGGAGGAGATGTGCCAGCACTGTCAGCACGTTGTCCAGCGGCCCCTAACACACTATCTTCTAGAGTGCGAAGCTACCGAGACACTCCGCAGGCAACTAGGGGTGATATTCCCTCCCGAAGAGGACCCAGAGATGACTGCGGCCACACTAGTGTATCATGGGGTCAACGAACCAGACAAGCTGTTACCTGTAATAATGACATATCCTCCTCCTCGCTAGTGTCCATAGTTACATATGGTGTCGCTTATGAGATGCACCAGTTGAACTGACCAGAGGGGCGCTTGAGAGGCATGCGTCGCATCATTGTGGAAACCTTTCTCCCTCGGAAGCCAGAGACGGGTCATCGCAAGATTGAGACCCGTGCCAGGACTACGGTCTTGGCGAACATTATACATACATACCTATGCTGTACATTCTACAAGATTGATGGACTGAACACATCGACTCCAGGCTGAGGGACTGATTACCTCATACTCCTCCTCTCCTTACACCTTCTGCTTTGTATTGGACTGATGAAGCCACTGTGTGGCAAAACGTTTCCTGAACAAAGATTCCCATATTTTGCATGACTGTCTCAATCTTATGTTCTTATGTTAACTCCTCTCCTTGGCAAAATACCACATATGACAGGGTTCCCACCCTTCCTCCTATTTCTATTGCTGACCTATACCTGCTAATCAGGTCTTCACTCCTACGTCTGCCAACATCGTTGCCTCCAGCACTGAGACAGATAATAGGATTGCTCTCATTACCTCTCATGTCATCCAGATGGCTAACAATATCCTCCATACCAGCCCCAGGAAAGCAAACCCTCTGTCTCCTACTCCTGTCCTTCAAGCAGAACGCCCTATCCATATACCTAACTTGGCTATCCTCAACAACAATATTCTTACCTTCCTTGGTGTCGTTCGTCGTGACGTTCCCAGTAGTCGACTCACATTCGTCGGGTAGCACTGAGAATGTATTAGATGTTTCCACAACAGTTTCCACAGCAGTCTCTTTCTTCTTCATCGTTTCTACCTTTCCATTCGTCTTCTTGATCCTCAACTTCATTCCCTGCTGTCCAGCCACTGACCAGTTTCCCTTCTTGACCTGAGGACTCAAAACAGTTACATTCACTTGTTAGACGAAGAATGAGGGGAGACCTGATCGAAGTGTATAAGTGGAAGATAGGTATTAATAAAGGGGATATTAATAAGGCCTTGAGGATATCTCTCCAAGAGAGAACCTGCAGTAATGGATTTAAATTAGATAAGTTTAGATTTAGAAAGGACATAGGAAAGTATCAGTTTGGAAATAGGGTAGTTGATGAGCGGAACAGTCTACCAAGTTGGGTTATTGAGGCTAGGACTTTGGGTAGTTTCAAATTTAGGTTGGATAAGTACATGAGTGGGAGGGGTTGGATTTGAGTGGGACTTGCACATCAGAGCTTATTTCTTGGGTAGCATTGAAAATTAGGTTGGGCAAATGTTTTGTTAGTGGGATGAATTGTAAAGGACCTGCCTAGTATGGGCCAACAGGCCTGCTGCAGTGTTCCTCCTTTCTTATGTTTGCCAAGGTAAGATCGAAGTATGTGTTACTTTCCGTGACAATAATTTCCATCAGAGATTGACCAAAAATAGTTCAAAACGTTCCAATTCACTGGCATGGTTCCCAAGGGTACAAGATAACCGGATTCCACTTTGTTTCATCAAATTGATGGGGATTGGGAACAAAATTGGCACCCTGCTGCCAGTCCCAGATGAAGTTTGCTGGTGGGTACTGGATATTGATAGCTGGTTCTGGCTGTGCACATTGTGATATGTAGGTGGTTGAGGGCGGCCTGGGTCGTGCATGTGCTGAGTCAGCAGTGTGACTGCCAGCCTGGGCTGCTGCTAGTGCCTCCTCCCGCGTGCCGCCACCACCTACTGCCGCATGCGGGATCTTATCCATCCCGATTGTAGCAATTTCCTTGTCACTTTCACTGTCTATTCCTGGTGTGGGTCCACGGGATGTACTCCATCTCCTTGGGATAGCATAGGGCACACTTACCAGACCGCATGCGGCGTCGAATAATTCAACACTTCACTGGTGAATATTCCTATTTACTGTTGCTACTCAAATGATCATCGAGTGCTAGGAAATGAGTCATTGCTCACAACTAAGCCTTGGCCATGGGAAAATACGAGCTTACGCTTACGGCGTGGTACAACTGAAGGGGAACCAGATGGACCGGCCCCAGAGCTGGATGGCTGATGGTCGTCGGGGTTTTCGGCACTATTTACGTCTTCTTGAGCGTTGCTTTCGGTCATGAACTGTTCAGAACCATAAAATTCATCTTCGCTTCCACCTCCATCCGTGTTAGAGCTATCATTTGGGAAGATTCCCAGTTAGCCGCGGAGTGAGGTTTTTCTTACCGCAAGGCATGAAGAATGGGTACTGAGATGGCGTTCCCCCAATGCAATGCGGGCGTCCTGATTTTTGGTATACTGCACACACTGACAATGCAGTCACATTCTTTCATGTGTAGGCCTACAAACCTTTTCCTGCTAAATTTGAAGTCGCTAGAATTTTGGCGTAGTACTTAAGGCACCAACCAGCACTTCAAACCCATAGTACTATGGCACCAACCGCGAAGTGGTTAAGGTACCTTAGTGCCAGGAGGCCCCTTGGCTAAAACTTTATAAGACAAGGCAGGTTCTTGAAGTCGCCAACAGGAAATACTGTACCAGACACTAAATTCATAAGACATGTCAATGAAATTAACTAACCCTTCAACTGTATTATCAAGACATTAAAATAATGAGACATGGAAGGGAGACGAGAGGAGATATGAGAACCTACATACCTGTGAACAGTTTTGAGGTTGGAATCATACCACAGAAACACTGATCTCCAAAACATTTCGGGTAACCCCTGTAGCCCAGCCTGAAGCCAGGATTTCTTGGCTTTCTGGCCTGCAGGCCTACATAGCCATCACAACTAGGCCTATCAGTCACTTCCACAAGGTTGTGGTTTAGCTTCCTCTTTAAAACTTTCATCGCTGTTCCAGCAATATTTCTTAAAGGCTATCAACTGGTAGGAGACTGAAAAGTCATGGACCACCGATGCTGACAATCAACAACTAAAAAAAAATCTAAATTACAATCTCAGTATTGTACATATTACGAGAAAACAGACACATTAGAACCTATCACTGAAAGTCCAGTGACTACTCTGCGAAATATAAATTTTCCACTTAATGTGTGACAACTCATTAGAAGGAAGAGCATTTTGAATCTGGTTCTGATATATTATATGGGGATTTGTTGACCAAATTCAAATCTTACCATATGTACTTTAAAGTATTATTGAGGATTTGTATGAATTAGTTTGGAAAAAGAGTAAAATTACACCAAAATAAAAAGTATATAGTATCTGGAATAAGACAACTGTTATTCAATGTAAAAAGCAGCTTTATTTCAAGGGCTTACATAGGTTAAGATAGAAATAAAAAATACAAAGTATGCATTCTGCATAATGTAAAATTAAACTTCACCCATTTTAATAATTAATTTTCAATGTTTACCTGGCCCAATCCACTCGTAACCTGGTCTAGCGCATCACTGTAATGTTCCTCACCCCCATCGAGAGTCATGTCTGCTGAGACACTGTCCACCTTGCTTAAGACGAGGACCACATCTGAGAGCCAGTAGAAGGCCTGGTCGAGGTCGCCTTCGCACAGATAGGGAAGGCGGGACCAACGCTCAAGTTTATATCCCAGACTGGGGAAGACGTCTTTTGCAAGACTGTTGACCTGACTCTCTATGTTGGAGCCGGTGACTCCCAGCTCCTCAGATGGCAGGTTGTCAATGGTACCTGCAAGGCATTGAACTTGTAGAAAATTAACCTCAGAGTTGGCAGAGAGAAATGAAAGGGTGAGTTATGACAGGAAAAAAAAAAGCAGGGAAGAGCGAAAATTACTGAGCAGTAGCCCTCACATCCCATGCATCATAAAAGTTTTTGAAATAGTGATGAGATGGCAAAGTACAAGCTTTATGGAACAGCAAAATCTGCAAACCCAAACCAGGTTTTAGAACTAATTCATTCCTGTCACCACTGCTAAACTGCTTTGACAAAATTACAGAGGCATGGGAAGAAACCTAAATGCAGATGTGATATAGTACTGTCTTACTGAAGGGTCTACTCTAATTCCAAATCCTGTAATATATTCTTTCTAAACTAGGAGGCTTGGTCTAAGAATGTGTTGTGGGGAAGATAATCCACAGAACTACTAGCAGATACCAGCACAACTAAGTCATGTGACATGCCTATGTACCTTGCTATTGCCAACTAACCCTAATTATTTAGTCACTGACATGCCTGGCCAAGTATAGTGAACAATTCTCCACATCCAGCCTCAGCAAAATTATGAGAACAATTTTAATTAAGACTGCAAATACATGAATAACGTTTTCCCAGTTAAATATTTGTGAACTTAGATTCTATGACATAAATCAATTAATCAAATCAAAGCTAGAGGACATTACATCTCTCACATGGAAAGCCCCTTAGTTATACAGAGTATTTCTTGCAAGCTTAAACCTAACTTAACGTTTAACAGGACTATAAGAACAAAAATAATTTTCACAATAAAATAGATTACATGAATATAAAACAAATGCATATGAAAAAAGGGATAAAATCATAAGTTACAAAGGAGTAAAAACATTTAGATAATGTGAAGATAATTTCGTTAATTCAAAATAAACTTCTAATAAAATTACCATAAGAGACACTAGTTACCTGAACTATTACAGAATGTGATGAGATAGTATTTTAAATGTAATTACATACATAAAACATTAATGATATTCACAGTAGAACTGATTCAGTGAGAATGACTCAATGTATATGGTATGGACAGATAGTCCCAGCAAGGTACACGAGTAGAATTTGGAGGCAGAACCCCCCCCCCCCCCAAATCCGTGGATTCGGTTTCTGCGATTTCAGGTATCCAGAGTTTACCGTGGCCCGAAAATAACTTAATTTTGCTTAATAATGACACCAGAGTACATAAGTAGTGATGACGGCATTTCTTCAAAGCCTAAGAGAAACCAGGAAGTGCTTTCCATCACTGAAAAAGTGCTAATTCTCAACTTATTGTGCGTAATTATCAAACATTATCATAGGTATGTATGTACATGAAAAACGACTTACACATAGGGTTCACGCCTATCCATGGTTAAGATAAGATTTCGTTCGGATTTTTAACCCCGGAAGGTTAGCCACCCAGTATAACCCAAGAAATTCAGTGCGTCATCGAGGACTGTCTAACTTATTTCCATTGGGGTCCTCAATCTTGTCCCCCAGGATGCGACCCACACCAGTCGACTAACACCCAGGTACCTATTTGCTGCTGGGTGAACAGGTATAAGGAAACGCGTCGAAATGTTTCCACCCGCCGGGAATCGAACCCGGGCCCTCCATGTGTGAAGTGGGAGTTTTAGCCACCAGGCCACCGGTCTTGAAACGTATCCCACGTAGATACAGGGAAACTACTGCACAGGAGGGCCCCACTTTACAGCACTTCGCTAATACAGCAGTTTTCAATTATACTCATTCTTCATTTATGCAGACTTCCTACAATAAATATATTCAACACTCACTATAAGCTAAGGACGAAAATATTTTAAGTAATGTGTGTAATGTAAATACATTTTTTTAGGCCTACCTCTATTGCTCACGTAATATATAATAGTATAAACATGTCATAAGGCTTTTATATGCATTTGAAAGTGAAAAAATCTATGATTCACTTTACAGTCATTCTCGCTTAGCAGCGGTAGCCCAGAACCTGACCTGCTGCATGAGCGGGGCTCTCCTGTACTTAGATTATACAATATTTAAAATATCTGGTAATTCAAAATAAAAATTCCAATAAAAATTACAATAGGAATGATGCCAGTTACATGAGGCGGTACTAAATATTATGAAATAATTGTTGTCAGGATCACACTAAGGTGTGATCCTGACAACAATTTCAATAATATTTCGGTAATGTGTACATTTCAATAACACTTCAACAATGCGTATAAAAAGGCCTAGAATCTGGAACAGGAGTTCCAGATTCTAAGCCTTTTTATACGCACCGAGTTTTTACATACATCGAGTCAGACACAGGGATATCAGAGATTTTCAGAAACTCTTGAAGAAATTAGGAATAAGCAATCGAGTCTGTTACGCCTTTTATAGTCTCTAATCTAGAAAAGGGTTTAATGAGGAATGGTCCTCGAGGAAGAACTGTTATTTGGGTCAGTGTGGCATTTAGGCTTGTAAATGCCTATCTGTACATAGATATATCTTTTGACTCCTCGTGAAGGAGGCTAGAAACTCTGTCTAGAGCAAGCTGCAAATATTTAACGTATTATAAATGATGTGATAATAAGGTTAATGATAAACGTTTTGCTAATAGTGATTACGATATAAGAAGTTCTGTTTTAAAGATTGAATTATTTAATTCATAATATAAACTTCAAGTGATTATTAATACTGTTAATAAAACAAGCAGAAACCTAACAGATTCCTCTTCTTCAATGAGTGAACCCTGTGTATAATGACCCTTAGACGAGATAATCATGTTCTTTTTTATGAATTAGTTACGAGAAGCACAATAACAAAGTGGTCTACAGGCTATGTTCGTAACACCAGGTTTGAGTTTCTGAAGAGTGGGGAAGTGTGTTGCCTGGCACTAGACTAGCTATTACTGACTCTAGGTAATTTGCTGTAGTGGATCCCCAGGCATAAATAGCATAGGTGAAGTAGGGATAGATTAGAGAGTATTATAACGTAAGTAGTGCGGTTTCAAGTACATAGTAACGTATATTGGAGAGGATGCCAAGTGAACCGGATACCTTTTGAGTGTGTTGAATGTAGGTGTTGATTTTCAAGTTGCTGTCAAGGAACAGAACTAAGAATTTTTCTTCATTCTGTCTTGCAATGAGAGAACCATTAGTCCTGACATTTAGTTGGATATTTGTAGCTGTTCCAAAACCTGTCGAAGGTCTTATAAATGTTAAGAGTTTATTGGTAGTCATCCAAGTAGATATCTTCATGAGCTCTTTACTGACAGTATTACTGAAAATTTGGATTTGGGTGAGTGATAAAGATGTGTCATCTGAAAACAGAACAGGATTTATCGACATAGGGTACCCCCTATGTCGAGAGATCCCGTTGAAAGAAATATTCGTGTCGTTATGGTAGCACTTTAGGTATACAAGTGTATGATCTCTGATACCATAATGTTCTAGTTTAAGATGCAGGATGTTATGGTCTACTGTATTGAATTCTTTCTTGTCTATAAAAAGGCCCAGTGCATATTCATTATTCTCAACAGCTACGTAAAGGAAGTCAAGCTTTTTTATGATTGCATCGTTTGTGCTGATGCATTATTGAACTCACCTTCAGGTAGTCCAGAAAAAAAATATATTTCCAAAACAGAAGCGGAAAACAGAAAACAAGCGAGAACATGAATTTCCCAATTTAGACCAAGTGAATCCCAGGACTAAACACTAGCATAGCTAGGCCTCTTGCCTTACGTAAGCAAAAACCCTAATGGGAATAAGTCACTGACTTTTTTGGGTTACCCTTAGGTAATTTACACATGCTATTAGGTATGATAATTGTACTTTATGTGTACGAGCACCTAAATAAACTTACACGTCTACACTCACCAGTGGGGGGCCTAAAGTTCTTACTGCACCAGTTTCAGCGTGGATCTCCCTTTTAGGGCTACAACTGCTTGTGCCGTATAAGCGGAGTTGCAGTGTATTCCACTGACACTCTTGGAGCAGTTTCACGGTGTCAGATAAGAACTATTACCCATAGTGGGAAATAGTTGCTGCTGCTGCTACTTATAAGGCCACCACACATTTCGCCGTAATGAGGTCCTGCTTCCCTGTGTCGGAAATAATTACTGACCAAATAGGGGGAGGAACTAAGAAAGGAAAAAGGTCCTCCTCTAAAATAAGCAGGAAGAATTCTTACCAATTTTTTTATCTACACATAATTTAATTACCCATGGATATTGGCGGCCCTGGAAAATCTGTCCACATGGCCCACAAAACAGTCCTGCAATTGTGGTGCGTACCCCTCATGGTGGAGGCGCAGACCTTGTAGTATGCGGTAGTGGTTAACTAGTCAGGGACGAGCAGTGGTGCCTCCTTCCAGTATTCTCTTCTCGATGATTTTGCTCTTTTCACAGCTCAACAGGGTCATCTCTTCTTAGGGTCAACGATCCATGGCCGGTTTAAAGCCCAGGGTTCTCCGCCAGCGGGAGGGCCTCTAAAGATTAAGTGAAAAGTATTGCCAGTTACTGCTGTAAGATTATAATTATAGTATGTTAATACATCACGTACATGATCAACTGTTGACTGTTCATTACATGTTTCCTTAACTTTTTCTTTTTCCTTTTTGAAAATATCACTGGTGGGCCTCACAGTACCTATATCCCAGGGGCTTACAAAATCTTAAATCTGGTTCTGGATCAACCTCAATTTGGACTAAAGCCGAGTTCCGGGATTTAATCTAGGTCTGGCCTCTACCCCTGACCGCAGAGGTGGTGATCCTGAGTGTGATGACTCAATGAAGACGTGTGCCACATCTGAGTTTCTTTACTGAAGAGACGTGTAGCCCATCAAGACAAAGTTTATCTTTAATAAAGAAGCCCATACATTGTGCATGTGTCGTAGTCACCACCTTGTCTGTTTTATATTACTTTGATGTAGTAAAACAGTGCTCTGGTCGTAACCGCTATCACCACAATGAGGCCTACTTCCCCCTGTCCAGGGAGGCAATATGCACCGAATGTGTGTGTGTGT